ATACAATTGAAACCAGAGACTTTGGGGGGGGGGGTGGCACTGATGGATAAACAGTTGGAAAAAAATCATGGAACTTTGTTTACGTATAAAGATTTGACTTTACCCATAATGGAGGAATGGATGGTAAAGATGATGGAACTTGGTGAGATGGCCAAATTGACAGCTTTAATTAGAGATAAGACATTGTCTAAGTTTAATGCTGACTGGAATCCCCTTATTGGCCTTTTGCATGAAACAGAAAAAATGAAATTATGATGTATGGATTTCACAATTAGAAAAAAAATAGATTTACATTTATACTTATAACTGCTGTAAAAGAAAGCTGAAAGTCTTTATATTTTTCTCTCTCTTTTTATCTTCTATACTTTTAGCTCTGTTCTTTTCTTATTTCCCTCTTTTTCTCTCTTCATTCTAAATATTAGTTCTTGTTAGTTTTTATCTTTTTAAAATTTTAATGAAGTTATATTAAAAAATGTATCTAAACTCAGTATTTTCTTTAAGTCACCAAAAAGCAATATATAAATATATTTTAATAACTGAATTACATAGAGATACATTCACACGAGCCACTACAAAATGTGTATGACAGAATGATATAGACCTGTAAGGTTTTCCGGGAATAACATATTGAAAATCACAAACAAGTCCTTCTCGTCCTATAATCAAAAATGTAAATGCAACATTTCTATGACAGAGCATAATTTGAAGACTACCTTTCTAGTTATGTTAAGATAATTAAATAGGAACTGAACAGCCAAATAAGAACACTAGGGAAAAGCACCAAGCATCAACTCCTGTAATTAAATTACTGTAATTTTATTTAGCATAATTTGAATATTGCCCGACATACTCACCGACCAAAGAAATCTGAGTCCATATATAAAAATACCTAAATGAAATATAAGCCTCCACCTAGAAATAAAAAACAAGAATATATGGCATACAAATATTGATGATCTAGTAAGAGCCAAAAACACCTTATAAAAAAGTAAATCTATCTTCATGCTAAGAGAAAACAACATATATATGCCCAATCAAAATTTCAGATTCAAAATGTCTTCCATTTTGAAAACCCTATTATTTATCAAACAGCTTCTCATTTAGTATATAAACAGATGGAGGTGAAATAAGAGTCCCACTCACCTACGGTAAATATCCTGGGGAAGCAGTCACTGAGGAAGAGAGGTAGAAGCCATAGAGGTAGCAGGCAGAAAGGCAAAATGCTCAGATACTATAGTGATACAAGCCATGCATTAAAAAAGTGAGAAAATAAATTTAAGTAGGACAGAAAAGAGACAAGAGTCTATAAAAAAAGTTAAATGAATGCTCTGGAAAATAATCTCAGACAGTAAAAGGCAACTTGACAAAAGATACAAACCCTGCAAAGAAATGGATAGATGCTTTAATAATTGCTAATTCTACTGAATAACTCAGAGGAAATGGCATTAACAGACTGGGATATACACAGCTGGATAATGTGAAAGAGATCTAGATATAGGATTGTGTGTTCAACAGCTACTCCTGGGGTCTTTACCACTTTATGTATCCCTACTGGTATAAATTTTATAAAAAATGGTCTTTTCAGATTATGCATTACTAATGCTAAGGCCTGAAGTTCAAAGACCATTTGATGTTTACTCTTAAAACAAATAAAAACTGAAACTATAAGATTTGAATTCTACATGAACCTACATGCTCTCACAGAACTTTGTAAGGGTGCTTGGTTTATCCTGGTTCCTCCGGTGACGAAACCAGCGCTGGATTTTTCGGACATCCCAATCTAGCTGTTTTGACAAACCTTCTAACCGTCTTGCATCTGGACACTAGGAGATGATCAAACAGATATAAAAAGAGCTTTTTTGCTTCTCATCAAATTTCTAAAACAGATTCTTCTCATTCCTGCCCAATTGTCCTTCAATCCACAACCTGCTGGATATTATCTGGAACTGTACGTTTTGCTAGGAAAGGCAAAACAGGTGAAATATTCAGTTTGAGAAACAAAGTCCTTACACAAATCTACTGGGAAAAGTTTCAATTATTTTCAACTATAGATACTTCAGTACTGCTGAAATATCTTTTCTCCACAATTACAGACATTTCTCAAGGTAAGTCATTCCGATTATCTGCAATTTTGTCAGCAAAATTTGGATGTCAAGCTCAGGCAGAGCTGTTTTGCTAGGAAAGGCAAAACAGATGAAATATTCAGTTTGAGAAACAAAGCTCTTACACAAGTCTACTGGAAAAAGTTTCAATTATTTTCAACTATAGATACTTCAGTACTGCTGAAATTTACCTTTTCTCCACCAATTACAGACATTTCTCAAGGTAAGTCATTCTGACTATCTGCAATTTTGTCAGCAAAATTTGGATGTCAAGCTCAGGCAGAGCTGTGGGGTTTTTGTATTTTGCATGTTTTGTGTGTGTTTTTGTGTCTCTGAAAGTGGTTTCAAATCTCTTGCTGCACTTGGCAAACAAATCTTAGTTATTTCTCTACTAAGCAAGATCAATATGGAACAGCACTGGCTTTGATATATACCATAAGCAGCACTAGAGACTACAGATGTGCAAAAGATACACTGACTGTATTTGCATGTGCCACTAAACTTTAGCCCTAGATGCATAAGTAGGATGAATCCTACACAAAACACCTCCTCTCTTTTATCCCCGCATCCCCACCCAATGCAGCTAGAGATCCTTGCTTCAAAAACAATGATTAGTTTTTAGACTCTGGCAATATTTCTTGGCCTCTTACAACATACCGATACAATATGAATTTGAGGGTGAGGGAAGGCAGGGAATAGGCAATAACAAAAACAAAACAAAGGAGATAATTAAAAGATGAAAATATTATTTATACCCATTTCATTACAGTAATTGAAAGCTTACATTCTTCCTCCATACTACAACAATTCAACAATAAGAATAGTAAACCACTTTCCCACCACAGCTTTGCCCCAAGGGACTAAAGTAGTATACAAAATACTTAATACTGCAAAGCAAACTGACTTGTCACTTACTTTAGTGATGGATGTAAACACTTTTTCTAAAATTGCATTGGGTTGAGCTCTGCGAGGTCCACTGTCTTGAATGTCAAAACGTACAGCACAGGGTTTGGCAATAAATCTGGAAAACCAATTCCAGAGAAATAATGCATACACAAAATATCAACATTATGAAAAGTTAACATGAACATTTAAATATTCTCAGTTACATACTGGACACTGCAACAATAGCTACATGGTTAACAGTTCATCCGCATGAAATTTAAATTTAAGTATAAATGTTTTACTTCTAAACATTCAAAAAATGAAACAAAACTTTTCTAAAGCCTAAACTATTTGGCTGAGATTTTATGAACCACCCCCCTACACGTAATCATTTCATTAACAAGCCTTCAATTCATTATACCTTTTACTTGATGCCTATGGTGATATATAGTATAAAGACCACAAAGCTTTTTAATTCCTGTCTAAAACAAGAGTTTTAAAGACCATCTACTTCATCCTCATGTGCAGGGGAGGGGAAAAGTTCCATAAACAGCCTCTCCAAGTGATGGGCTTTTTAACAGTGCCACTGATAGTAGTGGGCAGATCCACGGGAAGCAGTTCTTCCCAAAACTATGTAGTGCTTTTAGATCAAAACCAGCATCATAAATTGTGTTTGGAATATAAGCAGACCCAGGACTAATATAATAGTCTGCAGAGGGCCTAAGTCTAGTGCTAGCATTTTACTCTAGCTGCAGTTCCCAAACACTTTCCGGAGGGCCTTTCCCTAAGATACACCCAGTGCCATCTTGCTTTCTGCTTTTAATTTCTGCTTGTTTCCGCTGATTTCATGCGGGGGCTGATATGATTATTCTTATTACTGTTGTTCTTATTAAGTTTTGGATTGGCTTTAATCTAATTTTAGATCTTTAATTTTTGATCATATAAATTATAAGCCACCGAGAGTTGTTTTGATTGCAGTTAATACATGTGTACTCTTCCTTCATATATCTTTTTTAATGACATTTTTATTAAAGTTTATATAAATAAAAACTAATACACAACTAAGAAACCTACAAACAAAAAGAAAAAAAGAGAAAGAAAAAGAGAAAGAAATATAAAAGGTGACTTCCTCTCCCTTCAAACAAGTATATACATTAACAATAACTTAACATCTTCTCTAATATTACTAAAAAAAGCCCTCTTCATCCCCAAACAATAACCAAATTATAAAAAATATTCAACAACCTAATCGGCAAAAGCATTAAGAGTGCCAGTGATAATAAACTATATATTTTAAGCTTAAACAAATAG